AGGTTCAGTAGCAAGTTGATGTATCCTTGATTGAAGGAGAACTGAGGATGGATTTGGTAGTTTGCAGATGGTGGACCTTGTTTGACGCAGGCTACATTCGGCAGGTTGTATATTTCTCAAAAGCGGGCATCCTTTGGAGAATCGAGTTTGATTGGTTTTTCAGTTGGAAACAGGTCATGATTTTGAGTTCGTTCGTGTAGGATTGCAAATGGTTGAACTGAAGGCAGGGAGAACGTACCTGTTCGATGCAGTTTTCGTGTGGAATGCAGATAGACAGGGAGGGCGTTGCCTGTATGTGTGTGACACCTGAAGAATCAGTTGGTGCTGCACAGCAAGGAGTTCGTTCCATCATGTCGGAAGGATTTGTCAGAGGCGTTGCTCGAGGTAGTAGAGCGTTGCCTAGAATTTGTAATCCGAGCGTCTGGAGTGGTTTTTTCTTTGTCTTCTTGCAGTACGGCCGTTGGGATCATTGGTGATATGGACGGCTATTCGATTTTGTTTGAGCCGTTGGAATCTTTCGTGATATGATCGGCGTGAGGCGTTGAATTTCTGAGGGGTTTTGATCCGGTGGCCGGGTTTCCCCTTTACTTTTGGTTTGTCGTTGTGTTTCGGTTTTTCGGACGTATTTTCGACGCACTAGAGGTTCTTCAATGGCGTAAAGAACCAGGGAGGGTGTTCGTGGGTAGAAGTAGATAGTCGAAAAGTAGCCGTTACGTAGGACGCAGCTGGGACAACTTGAAGGGTATGTGCTGAGAGGCTTTGGATGATAGTGCGGAGTCCCCGTGTTCTCTCGAGAATTGGGGCCTCTCCTCCTTCTCCCTCTCTCCTCTCTCATGCGAGCTAATACACACAGTTAAACAGCAGCCCCAAGTCNCGAGCTAATACACACAGTTATACAGCAGCCCCAAGTCCGCCGGCCCTTAGCAGGGCTAGGGCTCACGAACACGGCAAACCCCGCGAAAAATATTGCAGATTCGAAAAGCTCTCTTTCAGAACCATTTTACTGCGGCGGAATAATCCCCGAGCTCGTTGATGATGAACTCTGTCTATATTTACAAGTATGGTCCACGCTGCCTACAAATGGGAGAGGTAGCCATACCTCCTGCCTACCCACGGACGAGAGAGGTGAACACACCCACTGCATTTAACACACACCCACATGTCGGTGATGAAACCTCATCAACCATACGCCTCTATCGGCGACCACGTCATCAGGAGGCAATGATGAGAAATGTTCTCCCGTGCCCTTCTCACATTTAACGACATGAAATTCCACAACAAAACATATATGAGACACACAAGACAGCTACCAAACTGATCTTTTGAGCCTGTCACCCCGGTGTTGTCCCTATATGCTGTCTAGGAAATCGTAGTCATTAAGGTTGTTTTCTCTGACCCTATGATTCCATTGTTAATCCGTCTCTGACTCTTTTCTATGATAGAGATGGCACATCAGCCGCACATACTCCGCACATATATGCATACCAAGCTGAGAATATGTTTGTAAACTGATGGAGATTGCATGT